GCAAAATATAGTATATGTATAATGATATACATGTAAATACACATATGAATAAATAAAACACTAAAAGAAAATGCTAAACAAACAAGGATGTATAGCAATGTTGTTCTGTAGTGATAGGTTTGTGGGGAATTTGTGTTTTCATATATATATATATATATATATATATATATATATATATATATATATATATACACACACACACACACACACACACACACATACCTCTATATTTCACATGTACATATTTCGTGGTTTGGGGAAAAGTGTAACCTCTTGTAAAGTAAGACAAGATTATTCTTCCATAATTTCATTTAGAACAGTGAACTAAATGTGCATACGCTTTGTTATTACTCTGTTATTCTGTGGTTGATTTACTATTAGAAAACCAGGCAATCAATGACTGTGACTCTGCCCTTAGACGTGGCCTTAGAACTCACACTACAGTTCACTTACAGGCAAGTCTCTCATGTGATGGCAGATATCTAATGACACATTGCACGGAATTTTCATTCATTGTCAGCTAGATATGGTTACACCATTTTATTGGTAAATTTTGAGGGGAAAACACTCTGAAAGGTTCAGAAAAATATCTTACTAGCAACACATATATAAAATTTCAAAATTATTGGAGACAATTTTTGACATCATCTCACATGATGACTGTCCTCAATTATGGCAAGTTGATTAATCATGGCGTTCAAATATTCTTTATCCTTACTAAATTTCTTTATTCTCATTTTGTGTTCTTGTTCTATTGGCTACTGAGAGGGTGTTAAAGCCCAACTATAGTTGGGAATTATTTCTTATCTTGATTATAAGTTTGCTTTGTATACTTTGAGGTAATCTTAATATAATCTAGGATGGTTATGCCTTCCTGTTGAATTGACCCTTTCATTATAATCAAATATTCATTTTTATATTTAGAAACACATCTCAAAGTCTAATTTTTGTGTTATATTTATAGTCAATCTTTTCACTTAAATATAGTACTATCAAGGATATTTAATATAATAATAAATCAAGAGCTTAATGTCATGATCTGTGGGTATGTAAATTGTAGTAGCATTATTCTATTTTATTTTAGTAAAAAGTATTTTACTTGACATACAGGTATAGGATTTGTGTTGCGTGAATAAATTCATCCATAACCACTACCATCAGGATATAGAATAATTCTATCACCACAAGGGAGGTCCTTCAATCTGTCCCTTCATATTCATACCCTTTACCTGCCAAAAAGTCTGGAAACTCTGAACAATCCTCTGTCAGTGTGGTTTCGTCTTT